CTCTTTAAAAGTACTCATAAACACAAGCAACTAAAAGTGTATAAATGAGATGATTTTGGATGCCACAAGTGGAGCTACAAGCAAAAATCGCTTCTTACACTTCTACCAAACTTTCCTAATAAAATCATACATATTCAAAGATGGGCAAAATTACATTTCTCCTCTTATGCATATGACCAGCAATTGATCGCAACAAATTCCAACACTCATGACAGTTGCAACACGCAAAATGAGTCCCAACTCAACCTCTGTTACCACTTCCACTTTTGTATTTTCATATTCTTTCTTGGAATTCTTTAAAATCAAGGTTGAAAAAGAAAACGGATCAAATATTGCTACCACATAGAAACCATTTAATTCAAAGTACTGACAGAATAACAACTGAAAGGTTTGCCAATGCCTCCATTCAATAAGTTTGAGATTAACATCTTTCCAGACAACATGTTTCACTAAAGCAAGCCTGCAAGAGTGAATGCCAAACTTTCTCCCACTTCTCTCCTTTTGTATCATATGCAATCAATAGCTCCAAATAAACATTTAACCCAAATCTATTAACTTATTCTCATGCCAAATACCCAACATTCTGCCAAAGAATTCAAAAATCAATTCCCATGTTATTAGTAAAGAGAAGAAGATAGATAACTTAATGCCAAATTTGCTCTCCAAAAATTCCAAAGATGTTCAATGTAATTGCTAGTATGCTTTTCACACAAAGCTCAAGCAAGCTCAAGAAAGAATAAAGGAAATTCATCTCATTCTAATTCAATTTGCACTAAATGTAAATGAAAAGAGGGTTTTCCAACATGAAACGACTCATAGGTATTCTCTGTATATAAAACAACTTCTCAAATTTTTCATTCCAAAGACAACTCATGAAATTTTCAACATAAAGACAACCCTTAAAACTTTCTACCTCAAAGTATTTTTTAACATGAGATCACCCTTGAAACTTCTCCAACTTAAGATAAGCCTCCCATGCCATATGCCAACAAATATATGGAAAGATCTTTTCAATCTTGGACTCACACATTCACTTTCACGTCAAAACCATTCTTTAAATAAGAAGTTCATTTCAAAAGAAACATTTTCTCAAGGCAAAAAACGATACATCTACAAAAATCCTACATAGAAAGATCTTTTAAATAGAAATCCTATATTTATGAATTAGAAGCTCAAACAACCCTTAAACTATAAGAAATATATCACTAGGAATATTCTCCTTTCTAAATGGTTCGGAGTCAAATGTACTCAACTATCATTTCACATTGAAAGGAAGAAGTGCAATATCAGCCTTTTCTTTCCACAACAAAAATCCATCTTGTGGCAACATGATACCAATCATAACGAGAAGACGGAGCAAGTATTATTCAAAGCTGACATAAGTACGCATTTTTCTTTTCATGTGTCCCAAGAGGAGTACATCTCCCTAGTTTGCCACTACAAATGCTTTCTCAAACTCATCACAATCAAGATAAATTCAATCACTAAAATCTTCTTAAAACACAGCTTCGATATAAGAAGTCTCTTTGAGGCATTCAACAAAATAACACATATGCATCCTTATAGAACAGGAGCCAAAGGAAATCTCATTTTATAACATGATTGTTCTAAACTTTTATAAAACTCAGTATGGAGAACGAATATATTCACTGGAAGCAAGATGACTGGAATGCGATGACGTATATATCAAGAAAGTTCTACTTATACTTTCGGCTTTTTGTCAAAACCAACTTTGCATAGAGTTAACCTGCTACTAGCCAAACTATCCATAAGGTTCTCATTTGAAATAAGAAGAAGAAGCATAATAGAGAATAGATAAGAAGGAAAAGAAGTTTGAGAAGGAGAAGGAGACAGAGAAGTAGAAGAAAAATGAAATAAAGAAGAAGAAGATGAGGAGGAAGAAATATACCTGCCCTAAAGAAGAGGGATGAGTTTCAGTCGAGGCCGGAGAAGCGGGCGAATCCGGCGTCGGGTTCGGGAGAAGGCCTGTCAGGATCGGTCCAAGCGTTGGAGTCGAATGGGAAGGGATTCGCCTTGGCTGTGCGAAACC